TCAAGTTAATAATGAAAAGATATTAAATCAAATATATAAATCTCAATAGATTAATATCTATTTCAATTATAAAAGAGGATTAAGCTTTTTCTTTTTGTTTCGAATTAATGTTTTCATAGAAATTCTATAGAGATCTACAATTTTCACCATTTCAAAGAAGAAATAAATCTGTATTGAATGTTGGAATATAAGATTTTTCTGAAAAATAAAATATGATGTAATGTGAAATCTTTGGAATAATAATATACAGTAGTAGACCAGAATCGTTAACTAATATTTAGTAATTTATATAAGTTCGGTATGAAAATGTTCAACAGGGTGGGTGTGGGTGTGGTTGGGGTGGGTGTGGGTGTGGGGTGTGGGTGGGTGTGGGTGTGGGTGTGGGCGTAGGTGTGTGTGTGAGGTGTGGGTGTGGGTGTAGGTGGGTGTTCATGTGGGGTGTGGATGTGGGGTGTGGGGTGTGGATATGGGTGTGAGTGTGGGTGTGTGTGGGTGTGGCGGGGTGGGTGGGGTATGGGTGACGGTCTTTTTTCCTTATCCACACTCACACCCACATCAACACGCACACCCACACCCCACATCCACACACACACCTAGGGATGCAACGGTGACGGTGGTCACCAGTGTGTTCGGTCTACGGTTCACCGCAGTAGCGGTGCACCGTTCACCGTTCCACCGGTATACGAGCACCGTAAGCACCGGTCACAATGTACTGCAGACATAGCTACTCAAGTTCAACTGTGTCTTATTAAAAATGAAGCTGACCATCTCATGATCGAGAAGTGCACATATATTTGGTATGCCACTACTTTCTGTGATTTATGATCATACTTCACAAATTTAATAAAATGTTTCTATATATTGACCGCTCCTTCAGTACGATGCTGTCCGTAGGCGTACGTCAGACAACATCAAGATGTTCATTCAGCTGATATTTGTTAGTGCGAGGCTATCTGAATATGAAAGATGCTTATACAAAAAAATTAGGTATGTCGCATCAACAAACATCTTTAAGGTCAACAATAGCTGTTAGAACGTCGCGAACCTACGGTGATCGCCGGTTTATATCATTCTACCGACTCACCAAAGCTTAGGATAATCAGCAGTACGCTTTTAATGTCCATCACCGGAGGTTTTCTTGACCCTATTGATCCCATAACCGGCATCATTATCACATTCATCGATGAAGAAAATTTTCACTTACTATAGTGAGCAGATCTAAATTACATGTTTTTACGCATTACCATTAATCCTAATCATGTTGGTTCGGAGAGCGGAGACCTACAGTGGCAGGCAACTTCTAGTATTTCACAGACTCGTTGAAGGCCAGAGCAACTAGTAATGGCAATCTAGTCATCATCACCGTATAATTTCGTGAATCTATCAGTCGTATGGCTAGCTTCGTAGACAGTCTCCGGAAAAACGTTTCACGTGCTGTTTCGTCATGTACTCAAATATATAGTTTTGTACACCATGATGAAAGTTTAAAATGCTGTTTAGAGAACGGGAACCTACGGCGACGACCGGTTTGCAGCATTTGACAAGCTCATTGATGCTCAGGGTAGTCAGTAATGCCCTTACAACCATCACCACCGTAGGTTCCTGTGACAATGTCGGTCCTAAAACTGGCATCGCTATCATACTGATTTAGGAAAAAAACTTTCATATACAATAATACATCGCTATAAATTATATACTTTTAAGCGTCACCATGTAGTCACATAATGCCAGTTACCAGAGCGGAGACCTACGGTGATAGGCGGTTTCTAGCATTTACAGATTCATCGAGGCTCAGAGTAACCAGCAGTGTCCATCTAGTCACCATCACCATAGGTTTTCGTCACCCTATTGATTCTATTATTAGCTTTGTAGCCATGCACATCTTGGAAAAGATTTTTCATCATCAGTTTGTTGTACACTCAGCTGGCTCTGTAAGTTCGCCTATTCGGAATTTCGCCAACAGTAAGCTCACTAGTGGCGAATTTTCCCACGACATTCGTCTATTGGCGAATCTCTAGTATGAAATTCGCCAAAAAATATTTATTTTTGCCTTAGTATGTTCGCCAATGGGCGAATGTCATGGAGAAATTCGGCAATTTTAATCCGTAGAATTATGACTCAACTAAATTGATGATAGAATATTTAAGTATTACAGGATGTGGGTGTGGGGGTGGGGGTGGCTATGAGTATAGGTCGAGCGCATATACAACATCCAGACTCGCACCCACACCCACACCCCACATCCACACCCACCCACACCCCACACCCACACCCACCCACATCCACATCCACATCCACACCCCACACCCACACCCACCCCCCCACACCCACACCCACCCACACCCACACTTAAGCCGTCTCATGACAGCCTTTAAGAACGACCATAATGCGTCGTCTGGTGCTTTGAATCTAATTCTCTATAAAACTCACCTCACCCGTACCCCCAAGATAGAGCATTCTTTTCTCTATCAGACTGTATAGAGAGAAAAGGGTGTGGGTGTTAGTGTTATTTTCCTCTACACTAACACCCAGACCCACACCCACCCACCCACACCCACACCCTCGCCACTACTTTTGGATACCCCTAAGTAGTTTCATTTATCCATAACTCGTTCATATATATATCATCTTTATTTTCCTAATAAAAAAGAGAGACAACCGTTTTTTTAATCAAAATAAATGAAAATACAAATAAAGAATGAATCTACTGAGTAAAATGAACTTTAACTAGTTTTATTTAATTATTTCCATTGTAAATAGATGTTATCAATTACATATTTAATACTAAAATTACGAAGAAGTTTTTTACGATTGATCATTTCTTTTAATTTTTCAATCATTTCATCATTTGCTGTTGGAATATGAAGACTTAATGACTGAAGATATTGATTGTAAACATTATTAATTTTCTTTAAAATATCTTTCATAAATAATTCTATATCCATATTATGCACAAAACCAATTTTAAGATATTCTATATGAGGACAAAGTTTAAGAAGAAAATAAATTTCTTCAATTTCATTCATTTTTTCTAAATAAATTTTTGTAATTTTATTCTTCTTTGATTTAAAATGAGAATATTTATTTTCAATAAATGAATAATTTGATTCTGATAATTCCAACGAAGAAATCTTTAATGTATCAAGTGCAGAGAATTTATTGATTGTTTTCAATAATATCTGTGAAGAGATATTTTCTTCCAAAATTTCCAAATGATAAATTTGTGTGATGGATAAAATATCACGAATAATTAAATCTAATACCATCATAAGATCATCATTATCATCATCAGGAAGATTTGTAATTTTAAGTCGAGTAGAATTTGAAATCTCATTAACAGGATCGATATCATACCATCTTCCTCTACAAGAAAACAAATCATTTATAAATTCCTTAAGATTAGTTTTACTGTACTTATATGAATGAATCGAATAAATATATTCCATACCATTCATTTCGATATCTAATATCCATTTTCGTTGATTCCAAAATAATGAATTAAATTGATCAGGTGGTTGAAAATTTGCTAAAGATTCTGATTCAGGATCAATATCTTGATGATATTCTACATAAAATTTTTCTAATTTAGATAAATAATTAACAATCAATTCTTCCCATTGTTCATCATTAATATAATCATTATAATCAGATTCACTAATAATACGTAAAAATTTTAAATTACATTTTGTATTTATAATGAAAGTTTTCAATTCATCAAATGTTATTGAACACTTTTTTATTGAAAGATATGTTAAATTAGAACAACTAATTGGTAATACAATTTCATCATCTGAATCATTTTCAGATAAATTCATTAAACTTAAATGGTAAAGTTGTGGTGTATAAGATATTAAAATACAAAGTGTATTAAATGCACATTCATGATTAATAACAAGATATTTAATAGTACTAAATTGTCCATAATTAGCAATTGCTAATGAGATAGATGTAAAATGTTCGTTTGCTGAACATTTAATATATTTTAATTTTGGTAAAGTGAATATTAATCGATAAACTTCACTTAAATCACGAACTGCATATTGTATATAAATTATTAATGAGGTTAAATGAGGTAATGAAGATAAATTAATAAGTGAAATAAGTGAAGTTAGTGGAATTTTTTCAATAACAAGTAATTGAAGATGATGAAATGATGAATCAATTGAAAATGATGAAAAAAATTCATTTTTTTGTATATAAAATGAAACTATTTGATGTTTATGATTAAATAAAAATTGTTTAAAATTATTCATATGAATCTTATCAGATGTTGTTAAATAATGATAATTAAATTTCAATAGAAGAGATGAAGAATTAATTAATTGTTGAAAACGATGATTAAGATTTGAAAATGTTTGATAAATTTCATAACCATCAAGATATTCAAATATTTCAAAGAAAAATTCATTTGATAAATTTTCGATTAAAGTTATCGACATGTTCAAAGATGAATGTAAAGATTTTAATCTAGAACAAAAAAAAATAAAATGTTTCATGAAAGAATAAAATAAACAATTTAATTATTTCCAATATACATAAATATTATCTACAACACGTTTAATCGTACAATTCCAAAGTAAATTTTTAACAATGATTATAGTTTCTAATTTTCTAACCATCTTATCATCTGCTGTTGGAATAGAAAAACATAATAATCGAATTGAATGATAAGATTCACTTTTCATAAGTGTTAAAATAAATTTTACTAATAATTCAGCTTCCATATAATTAACACATTTGATTTGAAGATAATTTATATGAAGAAAAGCTAACATCAATAAATAAATTTCTTCTACTTCATTCATCTTCTCAAAATAAACTTTTGTAATTTGATTTTTACTTAATAAAACAATAACATTATCGAGTTCTTCATCTGATAAATAATCTGTTTTTGAAAATGATAAAGAATGAATACGTAATGTATCAAGTTCAGGTAAATTATATAAAATTTCACATAATTTATTAAAACAAATTGTTTCTTGAATTTCTAAATGATAAATTTTTGTTACAGCCAATACATGATCTATATATTGATTGATCGATAATGCTTTAAACCATTTTTCAGGAGATACATCTTTTATAATCAATCGTATTGGTTTAGAATGTTGATTTATTACGATATGTTGTTTATCGTATTCATACCATCGTTTTCTAAAGCAAATAGAGCGAGATTATTCAATAAAAAATTTTTTTTTGTGTTTTACTTATATGGACGGATTGAATATTGGACTGTATCAAATTCAATTTCAATTTCTAATGTCCATTGTCGTTGAAGCCAAAATGATGAAATAAATTGATCTCGAATTCCGAAATACATTGGAGATATATCATCATCTCCAAAATATGCATGGTATGTAAAATAAAAATTTTCCAATTCTGGTAAATTATTTAAAATAAAATTTTCCCATCGATTAGCATCAAGATAATCAATATCTTCAGATGTACATCCTAATGATAATACTTTGAGTTTTGCATTTAATTTATTAATAAATATTTCAAGTTTATCAGCTGGTATTTCATCTATTTCGATATAAAGACGGGTTAAATTTGATAATGTTATTGATTTAATAACATTAATGTTAATATTCTCGTCGGTTAGACCCGAAAATGTTAAATGATGAAGTTGTGGTACATAAGATATTAATGTACAAAGTTCATTAAAAGCAAAAGGATGTTCAATAATAAAATATTCGATATTACTGAACTGTTCATTGGTAGCCATTGGCAATAAGTCACATGTAACATATATTTCTGAAGAACATTTAATATATTTCAATTTGGGTAAAGTGAAAATTAACCGATAAACATCACTTAAATCATTTATTCTATGTTGTGTATCGATTGTTAATGAGAAAAGACGAGATAATGAATATAAATTAGCAAGAAGTGATAGAAGTACATTTTCTGAAATATCAATGATGATAAGTGATTTCAGATGATCAAAGGATGAATCAATTGAAAATGATGACAAAAAGTCATCTTTTTCTAATGGTAATATTATATGAAATGAAAGTATTTGATGTTTATTATTAAGTAAAAGTTGTTTATAAGTATTTGTATAGACATTATCAGATGTTAAACGATAAAAATTAAATTTTAATAAAAGAAATAATGAATTAATTAATTGTTGAAAATGATAATTTAGATTTGAAAATGCTTGATAAATTTCGCAACCATCAAGATATTCAAATATTTCAAAGAAAAGTTCATTTGGTAAATTTTCGATTAAAGTTATCGACATGTTAAAAATGAATATAACGCTATAATCTAGAAGAAATAAATGAAATATGCACACATGTTTGTTATTTATTCTGTTTATGAACTGGTCGTGCTGTGATGATTTAACGAAATGATGACTATATATATTCTTTTTTCTTCTTTTCTTTCCTTTCCATTCCTTCTACTGATTTTTAAATAGATGATCGAACGGGATATATGTGATCGATTTGTTACCATTTGAGAAAAGTGAAAGATCAACATCAAGTTTTTCACTATTATCATATACTCTACTTTTTCGGTTACAAAATAATTTCATTTTGTATATCAATATCCATCCGATTCAATCGTGTATTAATTGAAATTCAACGTTCAACATTCTTTTCTCAAACCAAAGAAGGAATCATGATAGCTTCGACCCACCAGTATAAACATCATTTTCACTACATTATGGTGTAGCTATAAATTTACTTCTGTATTGATTGTTTTCATTGGAACTTAATTCAATTAGGGACTGTACCATCTAAACATATACCTGAATGACAGAGAAATACATTGTTATAGCTCAGTATTTACCTGTTATGGCAGGAGAGATATTTCCTGCCATAACATTACCCTCACCTTCTTTTTGACAGACAGTCTGTCCACGTAACGGTATACTCCAGTAGGCGAAGTTGGCCTACCTGATCGGCTGAAAATAATATGACCATTGTATAGAGCGTTGTCTATAGCACACAGAAACGAGTTTTTTATTTATAAGTTTATTGCTTTTCTTGAAAAAAAATTATTACAAAGCCAATGCGCCTCAAACGTTACAAAAGTCAAAGTTGAATAAAGATTTATATTTTCGAATTTTTCATATGAATAAATATACGTTTTCCGAAATCTCTTACATATAATAAAGAAGCTTTCAGTAGCCTATAGAGATATGACAATTGGACTGCGTTTGGTCGCTCCTTCAAAAAATTTATTTTTATTTATAAAACTAATACATGAGTGATGGTGATTCCGTCACGAAACTTTCATGCAATTCAATTTTCAGTTATGAATCAGTTGTTTTTTATTCCAACGAATGGTGCATTAAATACAGTTTTTTGCGTTCTATCAAATGACCTACTTGACAATTTCTATACACATACTTACTGTTTAAAGACACCATGACGAAATCACCATTCAATGGTTATACAATATATTAAAGCATCGATTGCCATTCAAGTTGTTATTTCAAACAAATATTTACCGTGAGGTAAATGATTTAACGAGTCCTATTTATTAATTGAAAAGTATATCTATGATGATTTTAGTTATTTCTATCAACTGTTTTGATGACACACTATTTTGGTACTAAAGACTATAATGATATCGTCCATATAGTCAACGTTTCTTAATTTTTTAATTCAACATGCTATTACACCATTGATATTTTACTTTTTCTTAGTACATTTTCGTTTTTCTCTCATTTAATTTTATACTATGATTGCAACCACGTGATTTTACGACTGTAGGTTCGATATAAGCATAATGAGGTGCGGGTGTGGGTGTGGGTGTTGGTGGGTGGGTGGGTGGGTGTGGGTCTGGGTGTTAGTGTAGATGATAATACCACTAACACCCACACCCCACTCACACCTACACCGACACACCCACACTCACACCCACACCTTCTCTAAATGATATAAGCATGGTAGGCTCAAGTTTCAAGCTTACTACTTCTTTGTTTTATTATGATGTGATCTATCTCGTCGAAAATCGGCCAATAATGCAGATTAATATAACACTCTCAGAGACAATCCTAACCTATGCTCACACGCTCGGTTACAGAAAATAATTATTATTTTTACTTAATCACTTTTCCTGTTCTTCTGTATGCTGGTTTCCATTATCGTATTACCTCTTTTTTGTAGATCACTACGATGTATTATTGCATGGCAAAACTGATATTCGTTGCTCTTCTATCTTGTTCATTTCTATCAGTGAGTGAACAACAATATATTCCTGATTGGACATCACTCGATACACGCCGATTACCTAGATGGTATGACGAAAGTAAAATAGGTATCTTCCTTCACTGGGGTTTGTACAGCGTTCCAGCTATCTCTTCGGAATGGTAGGTGTAGCTTACAAGTCACTCAAAATGCACTTGCCTCATATTCAAAAAAACATATAAGAAAAATAAAATTATTCATGCCAATTGTTTGTAGGATGTGATGGAATTGGCAAGGTACCAATCCAGGTGAGAGTATTGTAGCTTATATGAAGAATAACTATCCACCAGATTGGACTTATGCAAATTTTGGTACACAGTTTCGTGCGGATCTCTATGGTGAATATCAATCAGAGATTTCTTCGGAAAACATTGACAATCTCTCTGTATTTTAGATCCAAATGAATGGGCTGATCTATTTGCTGCTTCTGGTGCAAAGTAAGTCGATACTTTTCGATTTTCATAGAAATATCTCATATTCTCACTTCAGATACGTTGTTCTTACTAGCAAGGTTACTTTCAAATGTATTGATATTATAATATCAACGAAATAGTTTCTCTTGTCTTTCGAAAATAGCATCATGAAGGTTATGCTATGTGGCCATCGACATTTAATTTTAACTGGAACTCAATGCATGTTGGTCCAAAACGAGATTTACTTGGTTCGAAAGATTTTCTTAGTTCTATTTTCTTTTTCTCAATGTGAAATTTTTAGGAGATCTAGCTACAGCTATTCGAAATCGGGATGTGGGTGTGGGTGTGGGGTGTGGGTGGGGGTGGGGTGTGGGTGTAGGTTAAGGAAAGATCAAGACTCACACACGCACCCAAACCCGACACCCACACCCACACACCCACATCCTATATTGTACAAGTGAGTGAATAGAATTTATCTTCCACACAATTTCTAGTACTACATTATTTTTTGTTTTGCTTCAAGAAGTATT